GCCTGTCTCGGCTCCTTTTTTTTCGGATGCTCTTTTCATAAAGATTTTTCGGGTTTCTTTTTCCTTGATTTCTTTCCTCCTCCTGTACCTTAGATGAAAATGGCTACCAGTGACTTGGCGAGCGTTGGGAAGGCAGATCTGGCAGGTTGCGAGATTTATTTATTTATTCCCCTCTCCCTTCCTCCAAATAATCCAGAGGCAGACCAAAATCAAACAGCGAACTTTAAAGGCTTCGCTTTAATTCTTTCCGCCCCGCTCCTGTGTTTTCTCTGCCCCCACCCCCGATGCGGTGCCAAGGCTGTGCCGGAGGGGGGGCCCGGAGGACGGGGAGCTGCGACGCCCATCACGGTCGCCCACGCCGGGCAGCGGCTGCTCGGGGAGCGGGCAGGAATCGGGCAAAACCGGGCAGAAATCGGGCAAAACCGGGCAGGATCCGCCGCGCTGCGAACTCCCTGGGCGAGTAAAAATGGTGCCGCGGAGCGTGCGGATGCTGCGGCGGACACTGCGCTCCCGAGTAGGGATTATCCACTTCTTTTTTTTTTTTTCCTTTTTTTTTTTTTTTTCTTAATTATTATTTATTTTTGTTGTCATGCCACAGATCTTCAACTGTACTTGCAAATAAAAGCGAGAGCTCACGGATACCGCTTTCCTTCCAGCGAGGACTGAGTAGTTAATCCAATAAGTATCTGTATTGTTTGGGGCGATGTGTGTGTGGTAGGGGGGAGGCAGTTAATCATGTATCGCAATGTATGGATAAAATATATGAATATTAAAGTGACGTGGGGAAAGAGTGCCGGCGCGGGGGCTCCTTTCGGGGGAGAGGACAAAGAACAAAGTGGAAACAATCTTTTAAAATATTTTCCATTCATAAAAATGGCAGAGGGCTTATCTACCAGTCTATTTCTGCGTCTGACTGAACAGCTAATGCGTTATTGCCAGCTTCAAAAGATAATTGTAGTGTCGGTAGAGACCTAATAATACAGTAGCACATGTAATTTTAAACAACACCTCATTGTTTATTGGGATGTAACTTTCCCAAAGTTTATTTGTAGCATTAAGAGATTTTTAAGTGCAGGAACAAATTGCAAATGAGCAGCTGTGGGGCGATGCACGGTTTGTGCGGCTACAAGAGTTTCTATATTTAGTGACAATCTGAATCTGAAGAGGATAAAAAAAAAAAAATAGAATATTTTTAAGGAAATGCTTATTTCCTCCTGGAGGAGGGGGAAGCTGGGCTGGGGGATCTCCTGGCTCGGGTTTTCAGTTTTCTGAGGGGGAAATAATGCAGTCAGTGTGTTATTGCCTACGAGCTTCACAACCGTACGTACACCTGCTCCAAAGGCTCAGAAATAACCTTTTCATGCAAGAAGTTAAGGAAAGGGGTCGGGCATACGTACGTGGGGCGGTGTCGTGATTTATGTGCTTTTCCAGGAATCCAAATAAAACCATAGTTGAGCGTATCCCTTTGTAAGGGCCACCTGTGCATCGCGCCTGCTTGTTCCGGGGGTTACCCTATGGAAATGTTCCCAGCCCAGTATAGAAGTTAACACAACAGTCGGGTGAGCAGAGGATGCTCTCACCTTCTCCCTGCTGTTAGGAGAGGAAAGCAGTGATTGTGACAGGCAGCCCACACGGATTACACTTCCTTTTTTTCTTTTTTTTTTGAAAGAAAAACTCCCTTTCTGGGAAAAAGCAACAAAAAAATAAAAAACCCCAAAGAACAACAAAGCAGCTTCTCCAGAGAGATCCAGTACCGGCGCAGGGTGCCCAGTGCAGGGATCTATATTGCCAGGGCGTACAATGCGGCAGGTCAGTGAATTACAGTAATAAAGACTTTTAAAAAAAATAAAAAAAAATTCAGGTGCTGAGACTAACACATTTCCTTCGCTGTTCCAAAGGAACCATGGGCACTGGGAAAAGGCAGAGTAAGCAAAAGGAACTGGGTGCACTTCACTCTGTTTTTTTTTACAAAATCTTTTAGGCAGAAGCGTTGAGTCTCGTGCAGGTTTTTGAGTTGTTACAACCAGCCTTTGCACACGAGCTACAGCACAGCTTTTATGGCTCAATCCTTGCACATTATGAAGTTGTCTATAAAATTAGAGGAGGTAGAGAAGTAAAAAGTTACTAATCTTGGAGAAAGAGTATTACTCTTAATTCCCTAATTTAGTTTGAAGTTTATAGGCTAGAAGTGGGGGGCTCTAAACTATCTTGTGTTAGTGCCTGTCCTTTCTATGAAGAATATATCACCTTTTAATAAATACATAATTTAGAGCTAAAAGAGGTATTTTTAATAGTAGAATAGAGAAAGAATTAGGAAAACTTGTGATGGAAAACTTTCCTGCTCTTTACCCACGAGGAAAGTGACCAGACCTTATGTGCTGTCTCGGTTAGCAGGGCTAAAACTGTTTTATAAAAAATAATTGCAGAAGGGAATTGTAGATAAATTTTGGGCCAGAAAAGCAGTAATAAGCCTCCACCTGCTACCATGCCCTTCTAACCAGCCTGTTTCTAACCTAGGCACAAAGTTTTCTGAGTTTGTGTCTGAACAGGCCACTCATATTATTGTCTTCTTTTTCTTCCCAAAACTTTAGCATAGATAAGAAATGTGAAAAAAAAAATTACTTAGCAGTGAAGCAGATTGCTGCTTTGATTTTTATTTACTTATTTACTTGGAGAAATAATGCCCATCTCATTGTGAAAGTTACAGACTCCAGAGAAAAGCCTGCAGCGAAGGGCAGCAGGGAATGCATGTTAATGAGGGCTAAAAGACCACCACTGCTTCTAAGCAGCGTAGGTTGATGTTTAATATTAGTATTAATATTCCTGATTTCTCTTAGACATAACTTCTCTTTGTCACATAACTGTTTGTGCTATCTGAAACTTCACAAAGTCCGGTCAGCAATTCTTCGGGTTCATTTTTCACACCGTGTATTGAATCTCAGCTTTTATATTCTGAGCGAACCCCGAATATAAAACGTTCTCATGTAAAAGCAGGGACAAAAGACTTACTTTCCTTTTTGAGAAAAAGATTGCATAAATAAATATGACAATTCATGGATATATACTATACTAACATAAATAGTGTGTGTATAGGTGTGGGTGGGTATATAAGCAATATTTGCCACACCATGTTTATACCACTCTTGCGCAAACTTTAACAAGTGAAATTTTCATTGAGGTGTGCAAGATTAGGACCAAAGTGTTTATGCCAAACTGCCTGATAAAACATTGGATTTAAGACAACAGCAGTATCAGTTCTGCATGCTGTAATCACTCCATATGACTGGAGAATGATTTTGTACCATTGTGAGAGGTGTCCCTCAGCTTCCACCAGTGATAACACTGCAGGACTGTGTACAAATAAAATATAGCTGAGGACTGTACCTATTTGCATCTTTCCTGGCTGTGAACAAGGGATTTATCCAGCTGGATGCTGGCATCAACATGGAGGGAAGGGAGTTTTAGGTTCCTGCTGGCCTACTGTATGGCCTGGGCTGACAGGCACTGCTCGAGCCCACCCTTGAACCACAGCGAGCTTATTAAACTGCATTCACTTTCATAGGGAACTTTCACTTCAAAGTATATTTAGTTTTTTCAAATAAACCCTGCTTGCAAAGGGCTTTTTATGTCAGAAGTGTTGCCCATTATTTTGCTCCCCATAAGAAGATCTACAGCAAAACAAAAGGGGAAACGCTGCCTCTCCCGCCTCTGTCCGTTCTGTTGCTTCCTTTCTGCAGTCTGCACACTTTAGCTGGGAAGTTATTTCCTCTGCAGTGCATTTCGCAATAGGCTCGAGACCCTGTGGAAATGCATTACAACTCTGCAGGCGTTCCTGCGACGCGCTGGGCTCCGGAGCCAGAGCCCCACGGACGGCCGTGCCAGGCAGCGATGCCGCCAGGAGCTCGTGGTCAAAGCAGGTCTTCTCACACAAAGATTGGCCAATTTTTAGTGTGTTTATACCCACTTGCCCTTAGCACAACTGCTTTAATTCCCCACTTGAATGTGGCTTTAGCGATGCACCTATGGCCCAGACCCCAAGTGGTACAGCTGTTTTCATCTGCCAGATAGGGACTGCAGTACTTCTTCATCACCCTGCTCTCCTGCTGGGAATTGTGGCAGTGGACATAAAATATTGCATGGAAAAACATTATTATTCACATGTATTTAGTGTATTTAGAATTTACATCAAACGTACTACTCTGCTTATTTAAGCTACTCCCTGAAATTTGGACCCTGGAGGTTGAAAGTTCTGCCCTCCTGTTTTAGGATGAGAGTGTTCACAAAACCATGGTGTTTATTGTAGAACCATAGAATGGCTTGGTTTGGTAGGCACCTTAAATATCATTGAGTTCCAACACTCCTGCTATGGGGAACTCTATTTCAGGATCTGGAGCCTTTAAACTAAGGAGGAAAACCCTCTTATGCCCAGTTCTCTGTGCACCTGTGGAATAAAAAAGCAATCTCTTCCCCAGAGAGAGTCTTACAGAACACTCTCATTTTCGGTAGCTTCAGAATATTGTTGATTTCATGGTGGATGGCGGGACAAGGTTAGTAATGGCACTAAACTACTGCTTTTCCATGACATTTCTACTGGGATTTGCAGGCAGTTCCATAGTGAGTTGTGGGACAAGAGAGGAACATCTGGGCATTGATTTCCATCGACCACACTGGCACTTGGGTCTCTTGGGGATGTGAGTCAGCAACGTGTGGCTCTAAGGTCCTGATGGAAAAGGGATCAGGATCGAGCCTGGCAATTTCAGGGGGCTTCTGGCTCTCAGCAAGGTGAAGCTGCTCCCAAGGCAGCCACAGGCTCCATGAGGCTCTCCCAAAGCCACCACCATCACTCAGGGCCCAGGAGAGCCCCGTTGTCTGTCTCAGGCCTTTAATGATTGCTGCTGTATGTTAACAGGCCATACCACATATAGCCCGGCTATTGTCAGCGCTGATCCTTGTCCAACTGACGGGCTATTCAAAGCGCTTCTCAAGCCTCTCCAAAATCCCAGCTTGTTCTACCCCGATGACAGCCATCCCTCCCATTCGGAGTTCTCTTTGTACGCTTGATAACATGGTGGAAATCCCTTATTATGCTTCTTTTAATAATGCTTTCACATGGCAAGGGGACATGATGTTTTAATTTATGCAGTGCACATCATCCTTCGACAATTTGCTAAGAGGAGCCCTCGCGACCTAAGCCTGCGCCGAATAACACGAGTTTATGCAAAACCAGTGGTTTCCAACCTGTGGTCTCCAGACCGCTGGGAATCGGCGGGCTCCTTCCGAGGGGTCACCAGGAGGTAACCAGGAAAGCAGAGCCGCTGCCGAGAGGTTCAAACGCGCCGCCGCCTATGGAGCCGTGCTGTCACCAGCACAGGTCTGGGGCTCCCCAACTGCAAACTGAAAATCGCTGTCTCAGGGGTTTTTACTTTCTTACTCTTTTTCCTTTTATTTTATTTATTTTTATTTTTTTGGTCTCTATACTCAGTATGCTGCGGCTGCAACCTCTGTGCCTTTAAATACCTGCTCAAGTCGATTAAAAGCAGTAAATTCAGAGGGGTAACCACACCGCTCCTTATGAGTTGTGTGAGTTGAAGTCTCACTTTGTTGTCAAAAAATAGCAATTAACCTTCAGATCCACTTGCTCTCCCCCCCACCCCC